ATTATATATTATTTCCGTTGCACGTCGGCTTGATGGGAACATTTTGCCAGTTCCCATCAACCACTACCGCTACCTCATATGGAAACCTGTAAGTTCCGTAAAGATATGCAATAGCAGGAGCTTGAATTACAGCTGACAAGAGTCTGTAGATCTCACAATGGTGGGTTGTGCAATTTAACAGGAATTAGCAAGAGTGCAAATATCCCTCCCAAGGCCGAACAGAACCTATTTTTTCATTCTGGAAACTCTCAAAATACTATGCTTTCCTGTAACACTTTCTCCTCGGTTAGGCGACGCGCAGAACGTGCTATTCTCCCGCACGGGATTTCCTTGATCATGTCGCATCACTGTTTCGAAGAACGAGCATATTTTTGTCTTTGTGAGTTAGTTTTGGAATTACTATTAGATTTCAGCGTATGGGAATCTCCACAGAATGGATAGATGTCTTATTTCCTATAGCCGCAGATGAGTTCTCGACCCTACGATCTGCTCCAAATGGTGCTCGTGATTCCCTGAGGGCGTTACTGCTTCTTACGCTCTTCGCTCTAACTTTCGCAGCAGCTATGGTTCGTCAGTCAGTATTTCAATGTTTCTCATTTTTGTGAGCAAAGGTTATTTTTTACTCGCACTTTTAGTTAGCTACCGTTTTGCGAGGCGATTGGGCGAGAAGCCATATCACGTCATTTATTGCGTGCATGGGTGGTGGAGTTTTCCTGGCCACGTGCATGCTGGACTTATTACCAGGTATGTTTTTCCTGTTGCTATTTGAGCGCCATCTCTCAGAGTTTGGTGAAGGCAGAACGATTTCCAGACGCTATTGAATCGTTCGAGAAGAGTGGATTCGATTCGAATTTTCCAATCGCCGAAGCCGCCGTGGCAGGAGGATTATTGTTGGTTTTAACAATTGAACAGGTCTGTTATATCTCTGTTAAAGGAACTTTTGTCATTTTGAATTATTCCCTGTAACGTTGGGTAGCTTTTCTCGTTTTGTACCTCTGGTGGGGCCACTGTTCTGCTAGATTTAACTGCGTCATATTTTGACGCAACAAAGTAAGAGGGCAGAGACGAGCACGGCGTAACCTGGCTCACCCTCGCTAAAGCTATGTGCCTCTCTCTCGAGGCACATAGCTGCGTTCCCAAAAAGGCCTTCAGGGAATTGGCAAACCGCGAAAACCGTAAATTCTTGAATCCAGCGCAAAATCGGAAGACTCCGCGCAAAAGTTTACATGTGAACTATGTCGATCCCATCCGAATGGAAAACTGACAAGATTGATGCGCTAACTCAGTCCTTGCCCGGCCGTATTCAATCTGGCTGCAAGTGTTGTGTCTTGATCTCACCGTTAGGTATAAACCAGTTGCTACACAGGCACCTCCGCTCCAAGCATAGCATTCGGGGCACGTCGTACGTCAAGGCTGGCAGCCAAGGAGGAGGGGGGGGGGGGGTTGGTCCCATTCAGTCGCTTAAGAAAGGAAAGATCATATTTGCCTTCGAGGAAATTGATTTCAGTGTTGTTGACTTTTCCTCTTTCTTGGTTTTTCCGTTTCAATTGTGTGCTACACCTCCCCCCCTCACTAGACTGCTGCTTTTTAGGAAGGAGTAGTATTCTGCCAAAATTCCGCCTGAGGTTAGTAGCAGCGCTCTTGTGAGGCTTTGATTGAAACGAAACTCGTGCAAACTTTTATCAGAATGATCCCTTATTTGTTGCTTTCTCAACTGTGTCATTTCTTAGGTCGTCCTCACGCTCCAAGAGCGTGGGTGGCTCAGCTCAGGCCATCTACACCTCCATGATGAAGGTGAAAGTTCTCATCCTCAGGTAAGTATTTTAGTCTTTAGTCTAGATAACTACCGCACTTTTATTTTCTTTTGATGTGTAGTTCAGGATCTATCTCTCCAAGATGATACTGAACAGGACGCGAATCCTATGTTAGGAGCTTGTTTACTCGTACTTGCATTATCATTACATGCGCTCTTCGAAGGCCTTTCATTAGCTGTGATCAGTGATGCTTCCAAATTGCTAGAGGTATGTACTTTACTTTATTGACTTTAGTTTCTGAGGAAAACTACTAACTTCCAGGTTTTTGCGGCCCTTATCCTGCACAAATGTATAATTGGATTTAGCCTAGGCGTCCGCCTTGTGCAAAGTGGCATGCGTACCCCTTGGGTTGCACTTTGTGCGTGTTTGTTCAGTATACAGGTGAGTGCAGTTATGCTTTCCTTGGAATGGAGCAGTTTGCATTTGGTTGTGGAATCCACATGGGAGAGCAGTTGTGTCAGTTGTATTTATGGGAGAGAATGCTCTTCAGAATCTCTCAAAATCGAAGGCTCGTCGAAAGTTGGGGATTATCCTAGCGGGTGATCGGAGGGCAGGGTCAATATTTATCCGCTGAGAGAGGAAAGTTGTATTCGTTTCTGAGAAAAATAGTTTCTGCTCTTGACTTTTCGTGTTTTTTTTTCTGGTTAAAGCATTCTATATTCCTCCTCCTCCTCTGCTCCTGCATTGCTCTCCTCCATCCTGCCTTCTCCCTCCTCTCCCTCTCGACGACAGGTGTTTGTGCAGAAAGTAGAGAATTTTTGGGAAAAACCCCGGAAAAAGTAGGGAGTTGGGAAAATTCAGGGAGATGGGTTGGTGGGGACGGGGAAGGGGTGGGTAGTATTTTGCAAAAGTTTTCCCCAGCCGCCAGGCAGGACGCGCTCTGTTTTTGATTGGTTGTTTTGCATCACCTCTGTGGTCGACGGCAAGGCGCTGCAATTTCATTAGTTTTAATAGTTGAGGAGGTTCCTGCGCTATCACCCCTTCCTTCACGCTCGATGGACGTGGGGCAGGTCGAACTAGGAGATTTGATATCTGAGAAGGTAGTGGGGGAGGTCGTATTGGCAAAAACTTCTCCGCAGGCTTATAATCAGTTTATGAGTTTTGTTTACGAAGTAAGGTTAGGAATGTTGTTTATTTTTCAGTTTGAGCATAGTGCTCCTAGCAAACATGTTTAGGTACTAATCGGCGGGTTAGGTGGAATGGAAATCATGTCACTGATTTCCGGTGGTGATCGATCAACAGCTGCTCTAGTCTCCACCATACTTCAAGGTTTGTCATGAAGAACTAGTTTTCATTTTCGACTAGTAATTCATCATCAGAACCTCGAGTTTCATTGGAACTTTCTTCGTCTAGGAATCGCATGTGGCACGTTCCTCTACATAACTACTTTTGAGGTCCTTCCACATGAGTTGCGGAAGGCTGGTAATCGACTTTCCAAACTTTTTTGTTTATTTCTTGGCGTGTCTCTTATTGCAGGCTTCATGATCCTTTTTCCTGAAGCTGATTAATCTCAGGTTTTCAAGTTGTTATTGCTTTATGTTACGTGCAAGTATTGTATTATATTTATGTCTCCCTTACGAAACCGGCTGCTCTTTTCACTTCATGCTGTAATCGGTGCTCATATCACGACCGTAAACGTATGCCGTTCCCCGTTTTTCATTCCTTCGTGTTTTGCCTTTACTTATTATATCGGTACCGTGGTAGGCATCTACCCAAATCCCGTGTTCTACGTCGCGTTCATACTTTGCGACTTTGAAGCGCTGGAGAATACGCAAGCGAGTGTGTAGTATCGTTCTGGAGAATCGGGGAATAGAAGAGCATGACCACAAAAAACCACAGAGGAATCGGTTGGTTCCGCAATTACAAGTTGTGGGCAGGGCACGTCCTGTCGTTGGGAACCTCTCAGCATCCTCCATCTTCCTGATTTTTCCCTACTCCCTACCACTTTTCCGGAGTTTTTCTCCCGAATTTCTCTTCAGTTTTTCTCCCCAAAAACTTGCCCGTGTGAGGTGGGGGGGAGGGAAATAGCACACCTGAGACAGAGGAAATGGTGTACGACTCCCTCCCTCCAACTACCGAATACAACCACTCCTCGCTGGGGATCCTAACGACGACGTGCCCTGATTGAGAGAAAGGAAGACTGAAAGAGTCGATCAATCAGCATCCAATCTTGAAGTGAGTCAGATTAATCAGATCCGTCTTTTAATCGTACGCTTATTTACCACCAAACACTTGAATATCCCGATTTTATCAGTAAGCTAGCGCTACACTTGGTCTATACGTTTTCCTCTTTTTTTCCTCCTCTGTCAGAAAAATGTGCAGCATTCTTATGATGTTAGTGTAGCAAGGTATGAAATGCGCGCCATATTTTCACATTATAAATACGTTTTGAGCGATTATATTTCGCCTGAGAAAGTCTATTACAAAGCTTTCTTAGTACTTGTTCCGGTATGAGAGATATCGGATGTGGAGCTTTTTCCGTTATGATTTCCTTTCCTTTTCGGTGCGTTTCATCTACCTTCCTCCTCCATCGCCGCCCCCCCCACACAAATAGATTCTTTGCAAAACATTCTCTGTAATTTTGCATAACGAATGTAGGAGAAAAAGCTGTTAAGATATCATGATTATAATCATTTCCAAAACAGCGTTTTTATTTTGTAGAACGGGCAATATGTGTCGAGCAACCGAGTTGCATTGGTTCTAGTTGAAGCATAACCTGAGCATGAGTAAGCAAGGTGGAATAGTTTTCTAGGATTATTGAACTAATCAATTGTTTCTAGGGTTATGAAACTGGAATAGTGTTCTTTCAACTCACATGTTTTGTTTTAATCTGTGTTGAACTTGTGAAGACGTAAGATTTCTCTTCCCTGGAAAAAATTTGTGCAGGGTACATGATAGATGTGCTTATTTGCAGTTTTGCATTTCACTTGCATCCCTCTTCATTGAAAATATGTGATTTTTTTTATTCGTTAGGCCTGAATTTTGCCTATAGCCTTGTTGTGCATTCGCTCCTCTTGACGCTATATGATCCAATAATTGTTTTCGATTTTCCTCATTCCTCATATTCGATGTAATTTGTAAATATGTATGAATTCCGTACAGCTGTTGTATAAATTGTAACACAGTGCCATAAAAACATCAATTTCTTGTTTCGTTGCTATCAACAAAAGCGATTCTGGTATCGTGCAAGTACCGCTGATTCTAATTCTGGTGTGGAGAACAACTATATTCGATAAACTTTACAGAAAAGCAAATGCTGAAGGCACCATGAGCCATGCTTTTATATTTTGTAGCATTTTCAGTTTTCGTATGGGTGTTGATACGGTGAGTTCAGCTCAATTATTCGCAGGTTTGATAGGTTCAAGCTTATGAAGTTCAGGTATTTGGGTCTCTGCCTTTCATGGTTCCTGTCAGTGGTTATTCGATGTCCATTAGAAATTGGTAGTGTTGGTTGGTGGAGGCTAAGCGATGTGCGAATTCGATTACCAAGTGGACTTAACGTCTATGTTGATGTGTGCCAACTTCAACTTTTCTCTGTTCTAGTCAGGTGGGTATTGGTTTATTATGACGCATAGGTGCGCTATAGTCAGCATAAATGGACCTGACTCGAGGCAGATCGTACGAGGAATCCCCAGCGAATGGGATCGTATTCGGTCGCTGGGAAGGGGTCGTATTTGCTTTTGTGAAAATGTATCTTGTTAACTTTACTTAATTTTTCCTGTTGCGAGCGTGCTATGCTTTCCATATCTGGATAGTGGCGTTCAATAACGAACCTGTAGTCGCCAAGTGACTCTCCAGGGAGGAAAAAAGCAACAAAAAAATTATGGAGAACACCTTGGGGACCTCGCTGTACGAGTTGTCCGGGACTTGCATGTTTTGTACTAGCAAAGCTATATCCTGCCGCCTCTGGATCAGAACTCGTTTCTTCGCGTCACCTAGAGCTAAATACTACTTGACGGTGAAGAAAAAACGGAATACGCGGTGTGAAAACTCTTCTTCTTCTTCTCCCTAGCGTTAGTCCCGCGCCGTCGCAGGGTCTGCGGTTGGGTACGCGGTGTGAAAACTGAAGTCGGGAAAGAAAACAGGGCACTATTTACCCTTTACTGCCCCAACCATCCGGAATTGAGCCAGTTTCTGACCGACTTTTTTCTCTGGACAGATTTGGCTCAAATGTTGTCTCCTGGGGTATTTTGACCTCCTGAATACGAATATGACATTCACTTAGCCCGAAACCTCCTGGCGCCCGCGCCAGGCGCCGGTGATGTGGGCTGCTTTTACCCACTCCTGTAGCGCGCGCGGCCGACCGGCCGAGCACTCACGTGCACGCGACATGTGATATTCGTTCAAGAGTCAGCATCGCCCCTGACATACAAAAATTTTCACGCTAAATATGCGATTTAAAGTATTTTGCTCCCGACCCTTGGCCGCCGCCATCAACTGACGTTTCGTGCCTAGTCGAAGTGACATTATTGTTCAGGAAGTCAAACCTCACCCCAGAACACGAATTTTCCAGCTCTCCAAAAGCAAAAAATCCTGTCAATGCCTTTTTCGAGAGATTTGCGCAGTAAAGAACAAATTCGTCCCGATAAATACTTTCTAGTTTTGATGGCGAGATGGCAAATAGAATAGGCGACAAACCGCCACTCCATAGAGGCCGCAGCCACTCTTCGTCCTTTCTATAAAGCTCTTCGACATGTGGGACCATTTTCAAGACTGAGGACGAGACTACTCGTACAAGGAAGGGCCCCTGTATATGGCGTGATCGTGGAGACTGTTTTAATTTTTTTTTTCGTCTCTTTCTCAGCTTCATTAATCTCAGTTGTCTTTATACTTCAAACTCTACTCGCTGATAGAAGAAAGTGCCCTATTCCAGCAAACCTCTCCTGTTATCGTTATCCAATGTGAAGGTAGAAGGAGATGCTCGATTACTCGCGCAAGCGTCTCCTAGAAGAAATGGTGCGCCCATCCGGCGCTCCAGTTCTAAACATTCACTGTTCTCGCGAGTCACTCAGCTAATACAGGTTGGCTTTATAGTTTTCTCCTGTTGAGAGTACCTAGCATTACAAGTTTTTTTCTAGTATTTTTGTTCAACTTCTATTTTCAGTACTGTGGCTTGTACGTTACTCGAGGACACTTGGTCCTTTTTGATGCACTCCCCGGATGTATATTTCATGTTACCATTGATGAGCTGCTTGTGGAAACGTTTAGAAGTCGTGATGGGTATGCTCTTTTCATAGAGTCTCACCGATTCACTCCCTTATCACACTACTCGTTTGCAGCTGGCAGCTAGAGACATCGTGCATGATGACGCGAGCGAAAGCCATCCGTCGACCGCCTACGCCTGACCACTCACTTTTTGATCTCGGTCTTCAGTTCAGACTTTCTATTGATATTGCGGGAGGTCGTCTTAAAACTATTAGCTTTCATGTCACAGATCCTACGGTTGAATTATCGAGCGGTAAGCCTGCAAAACTACTACTTTTTTCGGATTTCTTAAGTACAAATTGCTCATTTTTGAAAATCATGAGCTACTTTTTGACAAGAATGATCTTCAGGCGTATTTGATGAACTTGACGAGCATGTGGACTCTTTCAAACTGCCTGAAAATGCTTTTGAAAACCCATCAGGGGTTCCAAGTGGCAAAGAGCTTTTTTCTATCGAGCATCTTTCGGATTTATGCATTGAGACTAACAACTGCCTGTTGAAATATCATAGTATATCAAGTGGAGAAAGGTTGGTCAACTGAAGATATCCATCATGCTGTTTTCATTTGAATGCGGATTGTATAGTAATTCGAAATTAGCTTTGGTCTCAGAATGTCCCTCCTATATGGATTTTTGACGCGAGTCCTGTGATCTGGATTTTTCCCTAATTCCAAGTAATAACTTTTGCACCACGGGAAATGTGCTTGTGGATTGTCCGGTGGTCTCAGAATGCCGTTAAACCTTATCATTAAAAGTTTGGAGTACAAGAGCTGTCATTACATACCTGAACAAGATTTGATCCGGTGGTCTGTGAAACCGAGAAGATAAAAAGGATGAGGGTAAAGTCCTTGCCGTTAATCAACCTTTTTGAAGATGCGTCGCGCATTCTATTAAGTTGGCGGGAAAGTTTTGTCATACTTTTTTAACTCTAAAGTATTTCGCCGTATTTACTGAGGAGGGCTAAGCGGTGGCATTTATACATTTAAGGACGATCTTATTAGTGTCACTGGCTCGGCTCCTGCTCATCCTTATTCTGCATTATGGACAAGAATGTTATCCGCTACCTTCAGCACCGACCCCTTCAAGCGCTTCCTTAAACTATTTCTTCTACCACCCTGGCGCCAGCATGGCAGCTGTCGACGTCGTAATGGAGCTGTGCCCCCGGCCACAAGGTAGAATGGAATGCAGTCATCAGGAATCTTCCACGACGCTAGCTCTTCAGAGCGGGAGCCTACGGTTCGAATGACGAAGTGAGGTTCGGGAGTACCTGTAAATTCAGCTCTAGATAGCGGTGGGTCGGGAAACTACTGGATGAAGAAGCTGCCTCCTCGATCAATTCCGTACGCAATCCGTTACAGAAGATCTGAAGTGAATCGTAAGCAGAGGGCGGGAAAATCCATCCGGCCGACAGTCCGGTCTTCCAAGTGTTTGGTGCAGCACACCCGTCCAAAGAAAAAGTTCGAGCCGTAGCTTCAATAGAGCTGGGTGGCTCTCCCCTTGCACCGGTGTAGTCCAGACATTGCTCTTTCTGACTGCTAGTCGCCTCCCGTATTCAACCGTTATACAGCCGAGAAAACCTCCACGACTTGAGCCCAAGTCAAAGTTAAGATGATGTCCAATCTGCATGAAGTGCACCAGGATGCATTGTTACCGCGAATGGCATCCCACGAACTGTCCAAAAACTGGCAAGGATCTCTCAATAACATTGCTGTATAATTTTGATCTTGTACGCCTCTCTGTAAAAAGAAAGTCTAATTTGAAAAAATGTGACAGGACTTTCCCGCCAACCTAATGGCTTTCATTCAAAAAGCATGGCTGAATTGATATACTGCAATGGCGATACAGGCTGCGTAAACGGGACTGAAATGACTTGCGACGCCCATCCGACGTAAAGTTTGTGTTACTAATATTCCTCCTCCCCCCCCCCCCCAGATGAACCTGGTACAGATTTACCGTCTTGCTAGCCGAAGGCTATGGCTTGGCCTAGCCCAGCGAGCCGATACCGATTTGACGACCAGACCGCCCGTAACGTGTGCCACGCCATAACCACTCGCTGCTTCTAAAGCCAGAAGAATGTAATCACGTATAATTCTTTTATTGAAGACTGTAATGAGCGTTCCTCAGCTCACCGATAATAGGAATAATCACAAAACTGGAGTGAGCCTCGGTTTGACTTCCACCCATGATGAGTTTCATGGGAACTATATATACTGGCAGGACAGAAGAGTAAGTCGATACGGTTTCTGATTCTTTTCCCGTGGTCATTCCTTCTCTTCTCTCTTTCTCCAGGGACACAGATTTTACAATTCAACATGCATGATTTCCTGTTTCCACGCCCGCGATTCCTTCAATTCTCCATATTGTGGGGAGGCAGTCCCAGTATATTGGCGGTCCAAGCTACTTACTCAAGCAACAGTATTCATGAGAAACTTCAAAACTGTTTTACTTACTATCCTTTGCCGGAAATGAACGGCATTAAAGTTTTCCTGGAAAATAAGTCCTTTTTCAGTCGAATGTTAACTATAGCGTTGCGAGGATTGTCGGTTACAAAAGACAGTGGTAAAACTCAAACACGGGTTGTGGGATTATCAATTGAGGATCAGCGTCAACGACTGGCTCTCAGAACAAGCCTTCTCGTTCTGTCACATGAGGTTTGTAACAGCTTGCCTCTCTAACTTTCTACGCCGACTAGTTCTGCCTTTCGATGTTTCACCGTGCAACATTTCAATAAGTGGCTTAGACCGCCAGATAAACTAGTAATAATATGTGAAGTCCACCTTCTAGAATCCCCGAGAGTGCTGGTTTCACCTGAACAGTGCCGGTGCTAAAATAAACTAGCACCGAAATTTTTTGGGTGGACATATCCGATAAGTGATGAGAAATTACGAGAACATATTCGTTTTCAAGAAACGAGCCGCCGGAGTTGGTGTGCAAGTCATTTCGGATAGTGTTCAAACATCCCTCTCTATGCAGGATGTAGCGTGGTGGAAAGTTCATGTTGACTCTGTTCTTCCAGTAATAAGAAAAGCTGTGGTACGTTTTTTGTTCCTTATCTGATTCTACTTTGACAATACTCGGAAAGCAGTTTGCTTTGTTTATACAGCTGTGCCCCTCGATCAAGGTAGAAAATTTCATTCGAAAGCCTAACGTTTCCACGTGGTTGTTCTCTATAGCGGCCTAAACGGTGTTTCGAGGCCAGTAGATGAACACTATCTCATCAAGCGCCCAATTAACCTTAGCAGCTTCGATGACGAGTGGCACAGCTGTATAAACAACGTAGCCAACTATGCCGAGGCTACACCAAGAGAGAAGCGGATGAATAGTCAAAAAAATGGTGATTTTATTCGAGAGCGAACATGTTCAGGGACAGTCAACACCTGTTGCTCCTTCTACTCCACCACGCATTCCAGTCACATTTTCTGTAGAAGTAGCGTCAATTTTCTGTGATCTCGTAGATGCCGATGCATTCCAGTCAACTTTATCTGTACAGTTTTTAAGTATTACGAAAGTAAGTTCAGTTAAACACTTCGATTCGGTTTCTTTTTGTGTAGTCGGGCAACAGAAATCCTCGTTTATGTTGTTAGTCAGAAAAGAAGCGAAGTAGCGCAGGAGTTGCTCTCCCTATGCTCAGCGGAAGCTCCCCAAAACATGACTCGAATAGCAAGATCTTCCCACCTTGGATTGCTTACGCTTCCCCGCAATATCCCATCCTATCCTGTTATCTCTGCAAATTTTGCGAACTTCCCACCAATTTTCCTCAAATTTTTTCCACTTTTTTCCCAGAAAGGTACATCGTGAGGGAGAAGGTACTCAGCGACGTAGAACGGGAAAAATCACGTCTCGGAAAATTTTCTTGGTAGTATGGCTCCTTCCGTCGCCGTCGGCATTTTGACGGAGCCAAATTCCGAACTATGGACTGAAATTTTCTCCGCTTTCATTTTCGACTTCGCTACTTTCTGTCATGGTTACTGTTTATGTTATAGCTAATCAGTGTCGATTTCCCAGTTGTTATAGGAAGAACATTTGCTAGAAGTAGGAGTGGATTGTCTTTGTATTGCGGGTCCTAGCATCCAGTTAATAGATGCGACATTCGAAAGGCATCAGTGGGGACAGTCGGTAAGTGTTGATGGAACCATTAGTAAATTAGGTACTTTCTATTTCAAAAGGGACTAGGTATTTCTATATTTTAGTAATTTTTACAGGTTTACATCGGGGCTGCGCTTGTTCAACAAAATCTGAATGAACCAGACTTGCTTGTTGGGATTGACGACTGTAAGATCGAATGGAGCGACAAACTGGCCAACCAAGTACTTTTTCTTGTTCTCAGACGTTCTTAGCGTAACCTAGTTCCATTTTTTTGTTTAGTTAAAAAAGCTAGCAAGCGTGTTTTCTTCAAAACGCGCTAGTGCAACTACGGTGTCCGTTACCAGGCGTACCTCAAACATTCGGCTGCAGTTGAAGAGGTATTCCAGCTTTCTTGGCCAGTGGCGTTGTTTGGCGACGGAGGGTGGAGGGGGGGAGGGGGTTGGGAGCATTTGCACTTTCGCTGCTTCACTGGTTCCAGTTTACAAGTCTCACTCTGGTGAAACCTGTGAACTCTTGTGAAGCTGAGCAAGCTCGTCGAGCCACCATGGTAAAACCTGTCAACTCTTGTAAGCTCATGAAATAGCTCTCTAGATGGCTCGACACGTCGATGGAAGTAGCAAAAACGCAAAATGCCCCCCCCCGTCGCCGAACTGCGCCCCAACATTAACCTAATTCTCTCCTGATCGGTTCACATTTCTAGAAGTGTACTTTAAGGGCAGCCATTTTTTCTTTGGCGAAAGAAACGTCGTATCTTGCTTGGTTATGCGATGAACTAGCAGCAGAGAGCACTTCTTCGTGCGATTTAGTGGTTTCCGCACAGAAAACTCGATTAGTGGTACTTCGAAATTGTTGAACTTATTATGTTCCGCCTGATCTGTTTTACGTGGTTTTCAGTCGGGTGTTATAAGTGACACCTTCGTTGATCTTCCGTTACTCTACAATGTGAAGAAATGCGTTCCACCTCTGTTAAAGGAGGAAGATGGTCCGCCTTGGCGTTGTTGGAATCAGTCGGAGAATGATGCGTAAGTACGCTTATCAAGAAAAGGTTGATTTGTTGCGGCAAGTAGCGCTATCCTGCTTTCAGACGCAAGAACCGGCGACGTACCGCTTTTGGTGAGAAGATCGCAAAGGAACCGCAGTTGGTGAGCTCGTCTCCTTTTTGTTGACAGACCTAATTACGAGCCCTACTCCTTTTTAGTGCGGCGAGACAAACATGCTGTGTGTTTCCATCGAGACCTTGGTCACGTCTGTCCGTAATGTGACGATTTCATCCGGCACACGACTGTACCTGGTGTGGTCACCATTGCTTCATCGTGTGATATATCATATGATTCAAGTCGTCAAGAGGTGAGTGGGGTCAACCAA